ATGCTATACCGTTTCTTTGTTTAAGAAAGATTTAGGCCAAGTCTCTTTGCTTGAAATTAATACAGCTAGATCAGATTTCAATTGATTATTTGCCTGATATATCTTATATCTATCATTTTATACTCACCGTTTCTGTGTCTCCTTTTGAAAGCAGTCACTGTTTTGAATATATTATTTTAATCTATTTACATTTATTATGATTACAGATGTTTTGAAATTATTTCTTCCACTATATTATGCAGTGACTTTTATTTACTATGCTTTTCTTTTACTTTTTTTTTTACTTTTCTTATTTTTTGCCTTTTTTGGATTTGTTGAATTTTGTTTTTCACCTTTTATTGCTTTTCTCACCTTCTATAAGTTTTGGAAGTTATAATTTTAAATCGGTTATTGTAGTGTATGGTCTAAAATTTTTTACATGCATTCCTTTTTTTTTTTTTTTTGAGTTGGAGTCTCACTCTGTTGGAGTCTCACTCTGTCGCCCAGACGGGAGTGCAGTGGCCGCTCCCGGCCACCGCAGCCTCGACCTGCTAGGTTCCGGGGATCCTTCCGCCTCTGCCTTCCAAGTAGCTGGAACTACAGGCACCGCGCTACCACGCCCGGCTCATTTTGATTTATTGTAATGATGAGGTCTCGCCAAGTTGCCCAGGCGGGTCTCGAACCTCGGGCTCAGTCAATCCACTCACCTCAACCTCCCAAAGGCGTGGGATTACAGGCTGAGCCACCGAGCCCGGCTTACATGCATTCTTGACTTAATAAGATCCAAAGTTATTAATATCAGAGAGATACTGATTCTTCTCACATGCAACAAAGACAATGACCTTAAAATTCTTTTATTTTGATTGTTGTACAGTGAGACATGTTATTTTTCAAAGTATTTTAGCTTCATATTTTTGTAACCCAGTTCCAAATTTGTCATTATTTTTGTTGTTGATGCATGTTTTTATTGCCTGTTTGCCAATGTCTTCGTTCATCTATGCTTCTTATATTCCAGTTCTTCCTTCTGATTATTTGCTTTACACTGAATTGCCATTTATCAGTGACTTTAATACTGAGCCACAAGAAGAATACTCTCTCACTTTGTTGTCTGAAATTTTATAGAAATTTCCCTCCGTTTTACATGAGTTAAACTGTATTACACTTCCAATTATTTTTTCAGTAATGTATTTTTAAAATGTATTTTTAAATTGTCTTGGGACTTCTATTACTTGCTTGAAAATCTCCTGTTGGCCTATTTTTGGTACTCTATAAATATTTGGTGTTCCTTTTTGTTGTTGTTCTAAAACTTTTATCATTGTTTTTCAGTGTTCTGTGTTTTCACTGTGGTGTGTCTGCTTGAAGATTTATTTATATTTTCCTGTTTGATACTCTGTACACTTTAAGTACAGGACATCTCAGTCTTGAAAAATACTAATTCATTGTCTCTTCCAGTACTACTTCTCTCACTTCTAGAACTCTTTAAAAAGAAATGTGGTACTTTACCACAACACCACAAAGGCTCTCACAGTGTAGCTGACCTCATCTCTCACAATGCCTTTCAGCCAAAACAGTCTTCTTCAAATCACTCACACTCGGGTGCTCTCATCTGCCAGAGAGCCTTATTAGGCTCTTTCCTGAGTAGACTGCTTGAACCACTTTTCAACCAGTTAGCTGAAACTCATCCTGCCAGAATGCTTCACCGGCCTTTATGATGGGGTCCTAGTCTTCTTTATAATATCGCGTATTTGTCTGAGCACTTGGGGCAGTTGCACTTTCACAATTACTTCTTTGAGCATCTAGTTAAAAATCAGGCTTTTTCACCATATTCCCTGCTCCTTCATGGCAGTGTTTGTTGTTTGTTTGTTTTCTTCTTGGCACTTTATAGGCTCTCAGGAAATAACACTAACGTGGAGATTGAAACCAGCCAGGAAGTATGAAATCATGAGGGACTTAGGAGGTATTTATTCGTTTCTGAAATTTAGCTTCACTGTCCTCACAGTAGATTCATTTTCTCGCCTTAGCTGTATAATTTAATACAATAAAATGTGTGGGGTGGATAGCCTCTGCAGATGAAACAGTATAAGTAGCCATGAACCAAGACTGTCCTTCCACCTCTCACGTTCTTTAGATATCCTCCTAGTTTAATTTCTAAAATATCTGACTTAAAGCCAGAGAACATGACACCAACATGAGGATCATTTATGAATAAATCCTTTTATTCCTCATTGTCTTCTAGAATAACTGTGCAAGTTGCAAAGTAACAACTCTTCCAAAAATCAGATAAGAAGGAAAATGTTTTACTCCCACTTGAACTGAAGAATAAAACCCTCAATATGTTTACTTAACAAATATTTGCTGAGCCCCCAATAAGTACAAGATGCCATATTAAGCCTTTAGAATACAGTGGGAAAACCACACAGGAGCCTTGTTCTCACTGAGATTATAATCAAATGGGAAACATTATTCTAATATTCACAATATCAGTAAACATGTAATTTAAAAATGATATAAATTCTTTCAATGAAAGAAATAAGATTTCTTGTGAATGTTTAACACATTTACTTGGCCTATAATTACAGAAGGATTGGGAAGGCTTACTTCATGTGTGACTCTTGAGCTATGATTTTAAAGATGTGAAAAGTTAATTAGATAAAGAGGTGAGGGCAGAGTATTTCAAGAAGAAATATTGTATGTGCAAACATTCTGTGGCAGGAAGCATTTAAAAAAAGATCAGAGAGATTGAGAACAGATATTAAAAAGGGAAACATTAGAGTTGAGGATGGAGATAGTTTTTAGGAGTGAGAGACAGTGATGTGCTGGAACTGACATATACTGACTAACAAAAGCCAATCATATTTTCAGAAATTTTGTAAGCTGATTGTTAAACACAGTCATTATTTAAAACCAAACTATATAAACTTTCAATTAAACAAATTACATTAAAAACAAAACTCTTCTCATTATTACTCGTTATTTTTAATTATTTGACTGCAGTTTACTATTATTTGCGCTCCTGAGTTTATTTATGTCTATTGTATCAGTACAGTGGAAACACTTTTTTAATGTTGTACTACTGCACATTTATTCCCAACCTCACATTCAGTGATGTTGCCTTACTAATCTGAAATTAATCACTCTAGGATTTTACACCCTGAAAATTGACAAACTCTTCAAGACACTCTTAGACTGCTAAGAGCCTGTTGTTAAGCACTTACCAGACTGCCATTGAGTGAGATTTTACAGGACCTTGAAGTTCATGTTAAGAATTGATCTTTATCACAGGAGAGATGAGCAGGCATTGAAAAGATATAAGCAGGAAGTTGACAAAAGCACATTTCAATTAAGAAAAAAAAAATTACTGAGACTACAGAAAAGAAAGGGGAAGCAAGGTGACTCTGTGTGGTCCATGTGGTAAATAATGAAGGCTCAGACTAGTATCACAGAAGTGAAAATGGAGAAAGGGGAATAGATTTAGGAGCTAAAATAGAAGCACTTGTTCTCTAGAAGCCCTGACAAGAAGGTAAGTGAAAGAATGGTGTCAAGAATAGTTTCTGAGCTTCCGACCATTCAAATGGGAGATTTGTGTTGTCTTTGCTAAAATAAAAAAATGAGAAGAAATATGTTGAATTAATTGCATTTGTTGAACTTGTTTAAACTCTTGGGTTTGTAGGCCTGTGAACTATCCAAAGACTGAGCCCAGGTGGCATTTACCTGTCTGGAGGAATCAGTCACTTACGAGCCACATGAGTAAGAAGTAGTCTCTCCATCTTCAATTTCTAGATGCTTGTGGTGTTTCATTTTGAGCCCAATCCTGCCACCATGTGTCAAAGAGCCAACTTCACAGTTGAATAAACTTAGACCTAAGTAAGAGAGGAGGTGAAAATAGTCCATATGGAATAAATGGTATGGACATGTATGAAACAAAGGGAACGTCTCCTTATATAAATAAACTATTTTTAAAATAAGTCAATTTTTTCATTTTTTACATATAGTACATGTGTGGTGCCTATGAGAATGGCCCCTGAGATCTCTGACAACAAGGAGTATAGATGACTACAGATCTTATTGCTGTCCTCAGAAATCCAGCATTTGAGCTGGGACTGTGATATTCATAAGCTACTCCCAACCAATGACTGAACAGAGCAAAGATTACTACATCCAGCCTGTTATGGGAGATGTCGGACTCCTCGGTCTCCTTGCTAAATTTTCCTTGGAACTGCATTGTCTAAGATGCTTACGTACAATTCCCCTATCTTCATAGCCTCTCTCCTAAAGGGTTCAGACCTGTATCGTGGTCTGATGGCTCTGCCAGCCTTGTCCGATTCTCTGCATCTGGCCTGGTGCCTGTAGAGACCAATGGCCTAGAATGATTGTAATTTCCTTCCATGGCCCCAGTGATAGCAGACACCTGCTTTTTGCTACATTGGGGTCCTTTTCCCATAGACAACTTTTGTTTCTACCCTGTTCCAAAAGCAGAGTATCTCTGCTGGTGTCTTAAAGTTTGGGAGGTTTCTTGCTACTCCACCAATGCTTAAAGCTTTTGCTTTGAGAGAAGGGTAAGAGAAGTGGGTGGGGTTTTGTGTCTGTGTGCCCACAAAGGGCTTTTTCTAGTCTCTTTCCTTCCCTCAGTCTTTCACAAGAAGCCCATGGAAATGAGGTTGGGGCTCCTGAGGATTCCGAATTGCCATGATAGCATGTACTCAGTCTTTAATTAGTCATCAAAGTTATAACTGTTTTCTTTACTCGCTTTGATGACTGCTGCCTCTCTTTCCTGTGGTTTTTCCAGAGGTGAAACAGTTGATGTGTCCTGTCTTTCCTTAGAAGACTTGAAACTCTTGAGAATTCATTTGGTTGCTTTTGTGATCTCAGTTCCCTGTTGGTCTCGTGAAAAGATATGATTTTACACATTATCTGTCTTTTTTCTCATTTTCAGCTTGAAATCAATGTTCTCCTGTAACTTTGCAAATGCTAAGTAGAAGGAAAGTCCCTCTCTCTTTTTAAAAATCAATGATATGCCTGTGTCAAGGTTTATCCTTTATGGGTATAGCAGAGTCAGGACTAGAATGCATACATATTATATTCCAGGCATGTAAAATGTTGTGATCAAGCAGTTGGCCCTTGGTGTGATGGTCTCTATCCTGTAAATATATTGACTGAAAACATTAAGCAGTAATGGAATGCACTGTTCAGTATATGTCAAGGCTCCCACAGCACAGCTATGCAAAAAAGAAATTGTTTTTAGTATATGCTGCTCTGGGTCATTCTTCAACACAATTACCTTGTCCTTTCCACCAGGTGGTTGACCAGATTGACACCCTGACCTCTGACCTACAGCTGGAGGATGAGATGACTGACAGCTCCAAAACAGACACGCTGAATAGTAGCTCAAGCAGCACAACAGCCTCCAGCCTAGACAAGATCAAAGTGCAGGCTAACGCACCGCTTATTAAACCCCCAGCACACCCATCTGCTATCCTTACGGTCCTGAGAAAGCCAAACCCTCCACCACCTCCTCCGCGGTTGACACCTGTGAAGTGTGAGGACCCCCAAAGGGTGGTGCCAACCTTCAATCCTGTAAAGACCAATGGCACCCTTTTACGAAACGGAGGCTTACCAAGTGGACCTAACAAAATTCCAAATGGAGATATCTGCTGCACACCCAATAGTAACTTGGACAAGGCTCCAGGGCAGCCTCTGATACACAGACCTGAAAAAGACAGGTGTCCCCAGGGAGGGCCTCGAGAACGAGTTCGGTTTAATGAAAAAGTGCAGTACCATGGCTGTTGTCCCGACTGTGATACCCGGTATAACATAAAAAACAGGGAGGTTCACTTACACAACGAACCTGTTCGTCCACCAGGGAAGATTCCTCACCAAGGCCCTCCCCTCCCTCCTCCGCCTCGTCTCTCTCCTTTCCCATCAGAAAATGGGGGACCGGGAATCAGCAACAGTAACAGCTTTCCCCCTCTAAGACCCGCAACTGTGCCTCCTCCCACTGCACCAAAACCACAGAAGACCATCTTGAGGAAATCAACCACTACAACAGTGTGATGTATGCCATTTAAAAAAAAAAAAAACTTTTGTTTTTTAATTTTCTATATTATAAGCATAAAATAATAAGTAATGAGCACTTTCTACTCAAGCAATAAAAAGCCCAAATATATTAATCCTGCATTCAGCAAAGTGGCATAAAACTCACCTGGTAAGTATGCAGTACATTGCTTATATCCTCGGTATGCATTATTTTAAATGTTGTATCATCAGAAACCTCAGAATGATGAAAAATCTGAATGCATTGTTTTTGCAATTGACCTATGACAAACTGTGACCTGCAGATTTCTCATATTTTGATTTACTATAAGAGATGGTATTTGATTCATTTTATTCATGCCTAACTCATCTATGCATTAATAACATGTCATACTTTTAACTTTGATCTAACGCTTTTTACTGAGAAATTTTAATACCGAAGGACTATTTTATTATTTTTTTCTAAAGATGTTTGTCACTAGTTTTTCATTACTAAATGCTGAGGACAATACCAAAAAGTTTATTTTCTATATTATACAATTATGAATTATATGTTCCGCTATATATGTAATAAAATATTTTGGTCTGTGGAAATATCATTATGTCAATAAACAAGAGTAAATAATGACAAAACCAAATGTTTCTCAGAATTAAAATGAAGTAGTGGTTCATTTAATCCCTTGTTAACTTTCCTCAAAATGGGCAGCAAATCTGACAAAATCTGGAGATTACAGTGAGTGTATGTCAGAATTTTGTAAATTCAATAATATATTCCACATTATAATTAGAACTTTACGCTCTGCATATTTTATACCTCTGGTGCTTCCGGGACCATCTACTGAACTCCTCACACTCGGCATTCTTCTAGGACATGCTATCAATCATTATAGAAGGGCTGTGGGATGTTTTGCTTCCTGCATCAGCAAGCTCTCTGCCTCCTTGGGTAAACCCATGTTTATGAGAGAATTAAAGGGGAAAATATAGATGTTTCTGGTAACAGGATGCGTTCAGCACTGGCCTTGAGCTGTTTTCCCCTCAGAGTTGAAAGATGCCATAGTTCATTTCTGTTCCACAGAAGAAAAGAAGGACTCTACAAATAAAAGTTTTCCTTTTCAGTCTCATTTACCTACTTAGAAAACTTACCCACCCATAGACTAAGTTTATTCTTCAGTGGTAGGAGTAGAGGGAGTCATCTTTGGGGGAACTATGTTTATTGTGCAACTTGATAAAGAGTCAAAAGACCTTTTGAATATTTGGCATTTGATCTCAAAGCTTTTATTTTACTGCTAAAAAGAGGTAGTCATTAATTATATTTTTGTGATGCCTTTTTCAGGTTGTCTTGTGCTAACTTGTAATAATGTTGTAAAACAGTTTCCTATTTTAGGAGACTACAGAGAGAAAACATACTTTATTTTTTAAAGGAATGACCAAATGAGTGAAAAACAGAATGCCTTTCTTAATCAGTTTCTCAGTGTCCTTTTTGTTTTGTATGTGTTGTACATGAAGATAATGCAAACAAAATAATTCAACCTTTCAGCAGGTAACAAAACGTAAGAACAATTACCAAGAAAGGCCATATGCTAACTGTATGGTTAGTATGTTTATTAGGTAAATAAACATTGACTAATTTAATACTAAATAATGTGTTCTTAACTTCTTAATACATGCATTTAGTTTTGATATAAATAGACCCAGGGTTTCATCATCTTTCTAGATTTAAATAATTACTTCCTTTCACATGTTCATCAAGTGTTAGACCATTTGAGATTGGAAACGATCGCAGAAGGTATGCTTTTTTTTCTTCAACCCATCTTCCTTCTTCAGCCATTTTCTGTAACCTTATAATCACTCCATAGTTTGAGACCTTGACTCTTGTTGATGTCTGGGGACAAAGCTGGATCTCAAGGTAGAGCTTTCTAGCAACTGCATATCATCCACAGAGCAGATAACTTGATTACAATGAAGCAAGTTGAATAAATTGAATCATTCAAGCTGGTTGAATAAGGACATTGAACCAGATGCCCAGAAAAAGTCTTAAAGGCCCAAATTCATTTCTCTTCTTCTAAGTTAGACAAAGCTTCCCTACGAAAGACCATATTTTTCTGTGTGATTGATGGCATGTGCAAAAACCACACCTGTTTTTATTCAATGCATTAGTAGCTAACTATTGGTCTAGAGAGCTGAGTTAAATATCAACCATTAAATGTTATAGTTATTGACCTTACTCTCTCATTACAGTTTATTTATGTACAATCAACATTAGTTTTTAGATTAATTATTAGCAGTACTGGGACTTTCTTTTGAGTTTATTTATTCCGTATTATTTTATTTTTTATTAATGTATGAACTCTGTTGTACCAATACATTTTCTTTCCCAACCTATAATTTTGCAACATTCACTAGAACTTAGTTATATTTTTACATATATATAAATATTTATAGAACAGAAAGCAGTTAACATACAGCATCATATTTGCCTGTAAACTTGTAATTAACATGTCATCAGTGGCAGCACAGTTTGGTAATCAGCCAACATTGCTTTCAAAATTTAAATTTTCAAGTGCAAGCTCTACATATCATCCATTAAATCGTCATAAATCAGTATATCTTTCCTCTTTTTGAATATCTTAAACAGAAATACTTTCCTCAAATCATTAAGGGAGATGGCTTTAAAAAAAAATGCATTTGAACACTTTTATTACACGTTGATGTGTACCATAAAGCTAATGTCCATATTCCTTTGGAGGTGTTGTTCCCAGAAAATGTAAAATGATAATACACTGTTTATCATCCTAACTATTCATAGTGTTAAAATATAAAGTACTTCAAAAGTCATTTACTCATTAATTAAATGAATATGCACAAGGTTTTAGTCCTTTTACTTAAGACAAAGATTATCCCAGTTTTGGAGGTTGAGATGAAAAGCAAAAAGGTAATAAAAATTGACTGAAGTTGTCTTCCGCCTCCCAATAGCTACATTAGTTAGTTATACAAAGAAATAAAACTGATATTTTTTAGGTTGATGCTTGAGTCAAACATAAAAATATCTTCACAAAAATACAAGGGCATGAAAAACAAGACATTTCTCAGTCTTCCAATTTGATATTATTATATTTATATTTCCCCTCAATGGTTTAACAAAGTTGGGAAAAACAAATCTATTAGCAAAAGTGGTTTAATTAGCCTAAATAATCTTGTGTTTGAATTGTAACTACATCCTAATTATTAAATAAATAAGGGAATAAGGCAGAGTATTATATGACTTTCTTTGGACAGATGAGAAGATACTTTTAGCATGATCATAGCAGCAGCTACACACAGTCTCTGAAACTATACAAAACTTTTTATCTACAGATTCTAATTATAGCCCATTTTGACTGCTTCATGAAGAAGAGTCTGTGTAATTCTACATATAATTGCACTGGGAATGGTGTAATCAAGTCATGAATCATTGCCTTGACTGATTTTCTTTCCCATGGATTATATGTGATAATGCAATGCTGATGCATTGTAATTATCCTGAGGATTTTCTTCTGACCCTCTGTTGGTAGCACATTTTGCTATAATGTAAACTCAGAGTTGTAGAAAATGATAATACTGTAGTGTACTTTGATAAATATTAATGATTTCTAAGAGAGGAAATGATTTATGAGATATAAAGTTGGGTAAAAAGCCATATCACAAAATTAGGTAAAGTGTATGGCATCTACAATTACTAGACATTATCTCAAAATCACATAACATTTTCTGGGTCAAGGTGTAACTGTGACACTATAATTAAGTTTTTGGAGTAAACATTTTGGAGTGTTTGAATTTTTCAAGTTGTGTGATTCTGAAATAATGACAGATGTGAAGCTATGATTAGGGCACATGGCAGTGTTGAACATAAAACTGCAGTAAGCTGCCTCTTAGTAGAACAGCAATTATGTAGGGAGTCATTTCATCTGAAGCATTTGGATTTGTCATTCTGGTCTATTGGGAAAAAACTAAAGTGGAACATAAAAAAGCTTTGCAAATAACCCTCTTCAAATATAGTTGAAACAACATGGGATATGGAATTGTGTGAAGGCCAAAGAAAAATAGAGAGGAAATGTTGCTTATAATTTATAACTTCTAGGCTCATCAAAGATAAGTGGGCTAATTTATTCACTTCTCTCTAAAACTTTACATATCTCTAATACTAATGTATAACATAGGTATTAGTATCCTGACTTACCAGTGGAGAATCCCAGGACTTCAGTTTCAGTATTTTGCCAAAACTGGCCCCTTGGTAGGTATTGGGCTGGCATTTTCATGTCAGCATGACTCACCATGCCTTTTCCCCTCATAGCATCACCATTTAATTGTGCTCTTCATAGCCCTGAACTTTGCAAATCTTTCCTTTATTCTGAGCAGTTATTTTGACGCTTGAAAGGGGTTACCTAATGTTGTTTTGACATTCTTAATGTGTTTGATCTTTGCAGAATATGAAAAGGATTTCAGTCAATTTAGCTACTGTCTAAAATGAACAAGCTGCTGAATAATGCAAGCTTCGTTTTCTCATGTATTATACTAGTGGCTTCACCTTTCAGGTTTTTTTCCCTCTAAGTTTTAAGACTATTATTTTGTATCTTTTTCCTAAGAAGTTCTGATTCCATAGAATTATGCCATTGACCCTGAATGTGTCACTATCATTCACTGGTATTTCTTTTGTGAATTTTATCTATTTAGCATTGACCTCGAGAGCAAAAAATAGCAATAGATACACTCTGCGGAAACTTCTAAAGAACTAGTGCATCAAAATCTCATAAAGTATTTCTATCATTTTGTTGTTAAGCTATGGATATGGTTTTCCACCTTTTGATCATGTAATTATCAATTCTTCTAACCTCCCAAGGGGATTTTAGACCAGCTAAATAAAACAATGTGTGCCTCAAAGGGGTCAGGGTTCGTGGTGGCAAGACATTATATCATCCACATCAAAGCTTACTTTATACCAAACACTTTTCTAAGCATTTTGCATGCATTTTTCCCCTCATAACATCATTTTTCCTTCATAACACCCCAATGTCTTAGACACAATTATTATCCTCATTTTACACATGAGAAAATTATGGCACTGGAAACTGGCTGCCTAAGATCTTAGAACCAGTAAGTGGTCAAGCTGAAATTAGAAGGAAGGCTGTCTGCCTCTACAATCCATATTCTTCCCCACCTTCCAGAACTGCCCCTTAAAGCATGGATCTTGCACTATGCAGGTAATCTGTAGAGAAGAAAGTCATCATTTTCTGGAACTTCCCCTAGAAAGCAGTTAGGATATATAAAATTAGAGAAAAAATATGTGTATTTCTGTACTAGTCAAGACAGACTAGGCTTCATGCTATGGTAGCAAATAACCCCACTATCCAGAGTCATCTGAATTGTTTCTTGCTTACTCCAAGTTCATCTGGGTCTGGGAGACTTTTCAGAGCAGGGATCCTTCAAGCAGTCATTCTACAGCACAGGCTATATTGATCCAGTGGGTGCAACATCTGGATCCATTCATGGACCATCACAACAGAGAAAGGAGAAACTAAAGAATCTTAACGATGCTTTTACCTCAGTCCTTGTGTGTTTCATTGACCAAAATTCGTCACATGATCTTTCCTGTAGTCCCCAT